TTTGACAGTTTTCCATTCAGTTTGATCACGTTTACCTCCCTAAAACCTTATAAGTTGAAAAAAGAGAAAAATATTTTTTGATCAAAATTTTTTTTAAGGCTTACCCCTTTGGAAATAATAAGTTGAAAAGAGAAGAAAATATTTTTTGATCAAAAATTTTCTTAAGGCTTACCCCTTTGGAAATTTTCATGTGAAGGTCAATTTTGAAAATTTTCTTTTGGTGTTTTTTAACAGTTTTCTATTTAATTTGATCACGTTTACCTCCTTGAAGCATTATAAGTTGAAAAAAGAGGAAATATTTTTTGGTCAAAAATTTTCTTAAGGCTTACCCCTTTGGAAATTTTCATGAGGTCAATTTTGAAAATTTTCTTTTGGGGTTTTTTAACAGTTTTCCATCTAATTTGTTCACGTTTACCTCCCTGAAGCATTATAAGTTGAAAAAAGAGGAAATATTTTTTGGTCAAAAATTTTCTTAAGGCTTACCCCTTTGGAAATTTTCATGTGAAGGTCAATTTTGGAAATTTTCTTTGGGTGCTTTTTAACAGTTTTCCATTTAATTTGATCACGTTTACCTTCCTAAAACCTTATAAGTTGAAAAAAAAGAAAAATATTTTTTGATGAAAAATTTTCTTAAGGCTTACCCCTTTGGAAATTTTCATGTGAAGGTCAATTTTGAAAATTTTCTTTGGGTGTTTTTTGACAGTTTTCCATTCGGTTTGATCACGTTTACCTCCCTAAAACCTTATAAGTTGAAAAGAGAAGAAAATATTTTTTGATCAAAAATTTTCTTAAGGCTTACCCCTTTGGAAATTTTCATGTGAAGGTCAATTTTGAAGATTTTCTTTTGGGGTTTTTTAACAGTTTTCCATTTAATTTGTTCACGTTTACCTCCCTGAAGCATTATAAATTGAAAAAAGAGGAAATATTTTTTGGTCAAAAATTTTCTTAAGGCTTACCCCTTTAAAAATTTTCATGTGAAGGTCAATTTTGAAAATTTTCTTTGGGTGTTTTTTAACAGTTTTCCATTTAATTTGACCACGTTTACCTCCCTGAAGCCTTATAAGTTGAAAAGAGAGGAAAATATTTTTTGATCAAAAATTTTCTTAAGGCTTACCCCTTTGAAAATTTTCATGTGAAGGTCAATTTTAAAAATTTTTTTTTGGTGTTTTTCAACAGTTTCCAATTAAATTTGATCACGTTTACCTCCCTGAAGCCTTATAAGTTGAAAAGAGAGGAAAATATTTTTTGATCAAAAATTTTCTTAAGGCTTACCCCTTTGAAAATTTTCATATGAAAGTCAATTTTGAATTTTTTTTTAACAGTTTCCAATTAAATTTGATCACGTTTACCTCCCTAAAGCCTTATAAGTTGAAAAGAGAGGAAAATATTTTTTGATCAAAAATTTTCTTAAGACTTACCCCTTTAAAAATTTTCATGTGAAGGTCAATAAAGTAACTTTACCGCATAATATGTTACTTCACATTTGTGAATAAATGCGGTAAAGTGCACTTTCCGCATGTTTGTAAGTAAAATTATTTAATAAAATTTTCTTTTTGTTGCAGAAGCCACAGAAAAGAAGATCCTGTAGCCGTTTTGACAAAAATTATTATTAATTTTTGTGTATTAAATAAATAATTTTATAATTTATTTATTTGTTTTATTTATTTCCCTTCAAACAAAGTGGTATATCCTCTTAGAATTTCTGAAAACGAACAAATTTAAGAGGATATACCACATCGAAAAATTTTTGAAAAATTAAGAGTATATACCACTCCAAAAATTTTTCGAAGCAAAATATGTGATTTCATTAAGAGGATATACCACTCCGAAAATTTTTCGACGAAAAATTTTTCAAATATTAAGAGGATATACCACACCCAAAAATTTTCGAAGCAAAATATGTGATTCCATTAAGGGGATATACCACTCCGAAAATTTTCGAACGAAAAATTTTTAAAAAATTAAGAGGATATACCACACCGAAAAATTTTCGAAGCAAAATATGGAAAATCATTAAGGGGATATACCACACCGAAAAATTTTCGAAGCAAAATATGGAAAATCATTAAGGGGATATACCACTCCGAAAATTTTCGAACGAAAAATTTTTCAAATATTAAGAGGATATACCACATCGAAAAATTTTCGAAGCAAAATATGTGATTCCATTAAGGGGATATACCACTCCGAAAAATTTCGAACGAAAATTTTTTAAAAAAATTAAGAGGATATACCACACCGAAAAATTTTTTAAGCAAAATATGGGATTTCATTAAGGGGATATACCACTCCGAAAATTTTCGAACGAAAAATTTTTGAAAAATTAAGAGGATATACCACTCCGAAAATTTTTCGACGAAAAATTTTTCAAATATTAAGAGGATATACCACACTGAAAATTTTTTGAAGCAATATATTAAAAATCTTTTAGAGGGTATACCACTTTGGAAAATTAAAAATTTTCAATTATAAAGGGGATATATCACTTCAAAAATTTCGGAAGCGACAATAAGGGGATATTATTAAGAGGATATACGAGGACTTATTTGCAAATAAAACACAAATTGGTATTATTTAATTGTTTTTATTAATTTAAACAATAAATACATAATTTTTCTGTAGATTTTTCGTGTTGTTGCTCTTGTGGTCCATTGGCGGCCGATGAGAAGTCGAAATCTTGTTTTCTGGAAAAGAAAAGCTTTATTAATGACGTAATAAAGGACTAAGAGCTAGTTTATTAGTGGATGGTTATCTAATTTAGCTGTCGATTAACTAATGATAATTATCAGTTAACCAACAGTTAAATTAAACTGATAAACAGATCCTTTTAAGTGTGACTAGATCATTTGTTACTTAAGTCCTTGTTTGTTAACAGAAATTTTAGATTGTATCAATGTCAATATGACATTGTTTATGTGCGACACAATCTGAGGTTATTGTTTGTTAATTAGAACTTAACTAACAATTGATCTTGCCACCCTAAACCTAATTTTATAGAAAGATAATAGATTAATAAGGAAGGGAATTTTTCAATAATTTAGGACAAAAGAATTTTTTTTTCATGTTCCAAGTATTAATTTACAATTCAGTGAGGAGTGAAAGAAAGGTTTGAAGCACGTTTCAATAAACTTTCAGTGAAAACTTTACAAAATTGGTAGCAAAAGACGAAGACGAGCAGTTAAAGTCTGGTGTGCGTAAAAGACGAGTTTTTTCTAGCGAGGCCTGCCATCTGTGACGAGTTCAACGCACCAATCGACAACTGAAAAAAAAAACCATCAGGATTTTAGAGTAAATTCAAAATTGTGCGACTGCACATTAACGAAACAAGTTCAAAGTCGCGGTCTTAAGCTACAACTACAATTAAAATACTAAGTTGGCAACGTCAGGTCGGTGCCCACTTTTTTTGTGCCCAACTCTGCCTTCTCATTTACAGCCACCCACAGAGAAAGAGGAGGCTTCTTTGTCTTTTTCATACATACACACACACACTGATTTCATTAATTCAAAAAACTTTCCTCCCTTTTTGTCAAAATTCTTTTAAATTTTTTGAAAATCTCTCGTAAAAATTACGAGACAACGTCGTTATAATGATAATTATTACCGGTGGTGCAATTTGTACGTCGTAAAATACAAAGTTGCAATGGACCGATATATTTGGGCACCAGTTGTGTGGATATTTAGTTGGCGGCATTAAAAGTTAATGAGCGAAATAAAACTGATTTTTTTTTTAATGCACCTGAGTGGTTGTTGGCTTTAGGCCTGGTTTATTTATCTTTAGATAAACTTGCTGGTAACTATTTGCTTCTACGATTTTATTGGTTGAAGAATAACTGGCCTATCAATGGAATTACAAATTGCAATTACTTGACAGTGAATAAACCGACCTTTAAACTATATCAGGCTGTATTTTTTAAAGTTTTTGTTAACTTTCAGGGCTCTGCAGGACTTCAGTTAACTATTAATTATTACAGCATAGATAATTGGCAATTCATTTGGTTTTGTGTTGTGTTTGAGATCTGGTAAGTAAGTACTGGAATCATTTATTGCGCAGTTGTTGCCTTTTATATTTTTCAGCTTTGAATATTATGGTTATTATGGCGGATTTACGCAAATTGAAATTGAAAAGAGGTACTCTGAAAGGTAATTTAACTAGAATGAAAGGGTTTCTCGATAAACTTGATTTAGAAAAGCTATCCGAATTAGACTTGATTCAAATCGAAACTCGGCTAGAAAATGTTGAACCTCTTTTATCTCAGTTTAATTATGTCCAGACGGATATAGAGTGTCAATTGTCTTTAGATACAACAGCTGAGGGTGTTGAGGTAGATATAGATGTCATTATTGAATCTCAAAATGTTGAAAGGTTTAATTTTGAAAAAGAATATTTTTCTATTCTCAGTAGAATTAAATTAATTTTGAACAATTCAGGTGTTGACAATCAGTCAGGTAGCGCCGGTAGCGGTGGAGCATCTCGTGCTAGTAATGATCCACAGCAAGTGAGTCAAAAACCGTCTATAAAGTTGCCTGATCTAAAATTACCTGTTTTTGATGGCTCTTATGGCAAGTGGCTCGAATTTAGAGATGCCTTTCGTGCTATTGTCCATGAGAATGTGCATTTGTCAGACGTGGAGAAGTTCTTCTATTTGAAATCTTTTCTTAGTGAAGAACCATTGCATGCAATTGCTAATTTGCAGGTTATTAATGACAATAATTATTCCAATGCTTGGACTATCTTGACCGATAGGTATGAAAACAATCGTCTAATTATTTATAATTACATCAAGGATTTGTTTGATTGTCCAAAAGTCATGAAAGAGTCATATACTGAGCTTAGAAAAGTTTACGATATATTCAATAAAAATTTAAGATCTTTGAATAGCCTTGGTCAGGAAGTTGAGCATTGGGACACACTCATTGTATTCATGCTCACAAATAAATTCGATCTCATAACTCTTCGAGAATGGGAATATTTTCAGGTAAAAAGTAACGAACTTCCTAGCTTGGAAGACGTTACCAAATTCTTGAAGGCAAGATGCGAGTTATTGGAAAAGTTAGAATCCTCAAAAATGGAAATTAAATCAGAAAAAATTAAATGTCATTTGGCAGCTACGCCACAAAACAAATTTTCTTGTTATTTTTGTAATAAGCCACACTCCATTTATAAATGTTTCGCATTCAGGAATTTGAATGTGCAAGCTCGACTCGCAGCTATAAGTGAATTAAAATTGTGTTTGAATTGTTTTAGTCCAGAACACACAAGCAACTGTTCAAAGTCGAGCTCTTGTCGTCATTGTGACCAGAAACATAATTCACTATTGCATTCCGAGGAGTATCCGGTGCCCCCGTCAGCTGAACCTGAGAGTGCTGTTGTGTTGAGCGCCATGACTCCGTCCACTGAATCTGGGAAAAATTATAATACAACGTTATCACTGCTAGCCACTGCTAAAATTCGAGTTCTAGGTAGGGACGGAGTGATTTACATTGTTCGAGCCTTACTTGATCCAGGATCGCAGAGCAATTTCATGTCGGAAAGTTTGGTTAACAGACTGGGTCTCCAGAAACATTGCGTTAATTTCAAAATTATTGGAGTAGGTCAAGCGTTGTCAGCTACGGCGAGTTCCAGAGTAAATGTGACTGTCATGACGAATGTAAATAATGATTTCGAAGAAACTATTCCTTGTTTGGTCATTTCCAAAATAACTCAGAATTTGCCATCGGTGTCCTTTGACATTTCCAAATGGAATATTCCCAAAAATGTAAGTTTAGCTGACGAAGCATTCAATTCACGAGGTAACATCGACATGTTGTTAGGTAATGACGTATTCTTCCGAATACTGCTTATGAAACAAATTCGTTCTACTGGTATGCCAGTTCTTCAAAAGACTAGATTGGGCTGGATTATTGGTGGTAACTTTAATCCGTTATGTGCTTTCAATTCTCAGGACAGGGTAATGGCATGTCTTTCGTTAGAGCAGAAAATATATTGAGACTTGACAAAACTTTGGGAACTAGAGGAATGTGACTGGAATGTAAAGGTTATGTCTAAGGCCGAAGAATATTGCGAAAGTCATTTTGTTAACAACTTTTCTCGCGATTCTGAAGGTCGTTTGGTTGTCAAATTTCCATTCAAAGAAACTGTTGGTCAACTAGGTCTTTCCAGGCAAATGGCTTATAAGAGATAACTTTTTTTGGAAAAACGCTTATACAAGGACGCATGGTTAAAGAAAGAATATGTCTCGCTTATTAATGAATACAGCGATCTTGGACATATGACGAAAATTACAGAGTATTTTTATCTACCACATCATGCAGTTGTCAAACAAGCCAGTTTGACAACCAAGGTTGTCTTTGATGCTTCAGCACAAAGCGATACTAGGGTTTCTTTGAATGATGTGCAATATGTGCGCCCAACCATTCAAAATGATTTATTATCTATTCTTCTAAATTTTCAAATTTTTCCCTATATGATCAATGCTAATATTGCGAAGATGTACCGACAAGTCTTGATTAATCCTTCTGAACGTGGATATCAAAGAATTTTATGGAGAAATCCTGACAATCAATCCGCCGACATTGAATGTTTTGAGCTTAACACCGTGACATACGGTTGTGCTTCTTTACCGTTTCTGGCGGTTCGAACTTTGTATCAATTGGGTCTAGAATTTAAAGATAAATATCCTGAAGCAAGCCAGGCTATAATGAAATGTTTTTATCTTGATGACTTATTGACTGGTGCGTTTTTGAAGTCCAAATTGGTGCAACTTCAACACGATATATTTTTGATTCTTAGTACCGCTGGGTTTAAGTTGGGAAAATGGCTTTCGAATCAGCCTGAGCTAATGAACCAATTTGAAGTGGATCAAGATCAATTTTCAAGTATTTTGCATCTAGGTGAGGGCCAACAGAATAAAACATTGGGTATATTTTGGAATGCTACTCAGGATTCAATTCACTATTCTATTAGGGCTTCTGATACGACGGATATAAAAATTTCGAAACGAATTATTTTGTCCATTACCAGTCAAATATTTGACCCACTGGGTTTACTGGGTCCAATTGTGGTAGTTGCAAAATTAATTCTACAATGTCATTGGCGAGAACGGATAACGTGGGACGAACCAGTATCACAATGTCTTAGAGAAAAATGGCTGATATTTTGTGAGGACTTAAAACTTCTCAATCAAGTAACTATTCCTCGTCATGTACTAGATAATAATTTTAAAATCTTACAAATTCATGCTTTTGCGGCGCTTGTGTTTACATGGTTTGTTTGACAGCTTCTGGTGAATATATTTCTTCCAATCTTATCCTTTCCAAATCTCGTGTGGCCCCGATAAAAACGATAACTCTAGCGCGTTTAGAGCTTTGTGCAGCATATGTTGCTGCTAAATTGGTGAAAAATGTCAAACAATCAATAGAAATTCAAGTTGACAGATATTTCTACTGGACAGATTCATCCATAGCATTATCTTGGATTCAAAGTTGCCCAAGTAGATGGAAAACTTTTGTAACAAACCGCGTAACAAAAATTCAAAACTTGTCTAACTCTGAGGATTGGTATCATATTCGATCAGAAAACAACCCCGCGGATTGTTTATCCAGAGGAGCCTCTAGTAGTTATTTCCTCGAGTCAGACTTATGGTGGAAAGGACCCACATTAGTATTTTCCAGTTCCTTAAAAGAAACTCAAAAGGTTGTTGAATTAACCTCAGACATATCTGAACAGAATATTCTTAGTCATTCTATAGTTTTGATGGAGGTCTTTGATTTTGATTTTGTCCGATTCTCGTCTCTGCTAAAGTTACAACGAATTATTGCAATATGTTTTCGAGTTTATTTTCGTCTCAAATCTAAGACTGTCTCAGTTGGTATCATTCAATCCGAAGAACTAAATAATGCTCTTATTTGCTTAGTAAGAATATCACAAATCCAATCGTTTCCAAAAGAATATACTACATTACAAAGAGGCGAAACTTTATCCACTTCTAGTGAGTTTAAATCCCTATTTGGATGAAGCAGGATTGATCAGAGTTGGTGGACGCATACAAAAGGCAAATATTTCAGTTGATCAAAAACATCCTATTATAGTGCATAATAAACATCCTCTTACTGTTTTGATTTTGAGACATGAACATATAGAGTTATTACATTGTGGGCCAACAGCTTCTATATTCAATCCGTTAAAGGTTTTGGCCAATTTCCGGTCGTCGAATTTCACGATCAATCGTACGAAATTGTGTTGTGTGTTTTAGGGCTAAACCAGTTGCACAGCACTATCAAATGGGAAATTTGCCTGAAAGTCGAGTTACAGCATTTCAACCTGCCTTTACACATACTGGTATTGATTATGCTGAACCAATAACTATAAGAGACAGAAAAACGAGAAATCCAAAAACCTTAAAGGCCTACGTGTGTGTGTTTGTTTGTATGAGTACGAAATGTATACATCTAGACATCGTCACTGACATGACCACTCCTTCTTTCATTGCAGTATTAAAACGCTTCATAGCAAGACGGGGTAAACCTTTGCATATTTATTCAGACAATGGTTCTACATTCGTGGGGGCCAATGCGACACTTTTTGACTTTATTAAGACTAATTCAAATGATATAGCCTCAACACTTTCAGCTGAAGGAATATCGTGGCACTTTAATCCGCCTAGAGCACCTAATTTTGGTGGCTTATGGGAAGTCGGTGTAAAAAGCTTTAAATTCCATTTGAAACGCGTTATAGGTGCTTCTAGTTTTACTTATGAAGATCTTTGCACAATATTGATTCAAATTGAAGGGGTGTTGAACTCCCGGCCATTATCACCGCTGTCTACGGACCCTCAGGATACAACACCACTTATTCCGGCCCATTTTCTGGTGGGAAAACCTTTAACCGCCCTTCCAGAACCAGATTACACGATCGTCGCGGAAAATCGACTGATCAAATATCAGCGTTTACAAGCTATGGTTCATCATTTCTGGAAGCGATGGAATGTGGAATACATCTCCGAATTGCAGTCAACAAATGGAAAACTGGTAGAGTGCTCGAACTTCATCCTGGCCCAGACAACATAGTTCGTGTAGTCAGTGTACGATGTGCTGATGGTTCGGTATTTAAACGTGCAATATCTAAAATTTGTGTTTTGCCAATTCAGTGAACCCTTTCTTTTTTCTTTTTTTTTTATGATATAGTTCAATTGGTTTAATGTTGAAATTGGTTATTTCAAGGCTGGCGGCATGTTAGGGCAAATAAATAAACTTATGTATATTTCTCCAATATCTCGTTGCCGGTTACCAGCTGAAAACAAGTAACGGAGAATTTTGTTCGTCGCCAAGGAAAGATTGTTTAATTATTGTCACATTGTTAAATTATTAATATATTTTGTAATTTTGTATTGAAAATTCAATTCAACGATCAGTTTCATTTATACAGTCCACTGTTGGAGCTAACACTACCTATATAAATTATTGAAAAATTCCCTTCCTCATCAAACTATTGCAGGCTGTACTTATTTGAAGTTTCCACTCAAACAACTTGAAAATTTATTAAAACCTGCTTCAAATCTTTTTTCCACTTCCCACTGAATTGCAAATAATTAATACTTGAAATAGTTCATGAGTAAAAAATCATTTACATCCTTTGTGTATGAATTATTGAAAAATTCCCTTTTTACATCAAACTATTCTAGGCTGTAGTTTTTTAAATTTCTACTCAAACAACTTGAAAATTTAGTAGAACGTACTTCAAACCTTCCTTTCACTTCTCACTTAATTGCAAATTAATACTTGGAACAGTTCATGAATAGAAAAATTATTCACATCCTTGTGTCTAAATAATTGAAAAATTCCCTTCCACATTAAAATATTTCAGGCTGTATTTTTCAAAGTTTTCACTCAAACAACTTGAAAATTTACTAAAACATGCTTCAAAACTTCCTTTCACTCCTCACTTAATTGCAAATTAATACTTAAAACAGTTCATGCATGGAAAAATCATTTACATCCTTGTGTATAAATTATTGAAAAATTCCCTTCCACATTAAACTATTTCAGACTGTATTTTTCAAATTTTTCACTCAAACAAGTTGAAAATTTACTAAAACATGCTTCAAACCTTCCTTTCACTCCTCACTTAATTGCAAATTAATACTTGGAACAGTTCATGAATAGAAAAATCATTTACTTCCTTGTGTATAAATTATTGAAAAATTCCCTTCCACATTAAACTATTTCAGACTGTATTTTTCAAATTTTTCACTCAAACAAGTTGAAAATTTACTAAAACATGCTTCAAACCTTCCTTTCACTCCTCACTTAATTGCAAATTAATACTTGGAACAGTTCATGAATAGAAAAATCATTTACTTCCTTGTGTATAAATTATTGAAAAATTCCCTTCCACATTAAACTATTTCAGACTGTATTTTTCAAATTTTTCACTCAAACAAGTTGAAAATTTACTAAAACATGCTTCAAACCTTCCTTTCACTCCTCACTTAATTGCAAATTAATACTTGGAACAGTTCATGAATAGAAAAATCATTTACTTCCTTGTGTATAAATTATTGAAAAATTCCCTTCCACATTAAACTATTTCAGACTGTATTTTTCAAATTATTCACTCAAACAACTTGAAAATTTACTAAAACATGCTTCAAAACTTCCTTTCACTCTTTACTAAATTGCAAAATAATATCTGAAACAGTTAATGAGTAAGAAAATCATTCACATCCTTGTGTCTAAATTATTGAAAAATTCCCTTCCACATTAAACTATTTTAGGCTGTATTTTTCAAAGTTTTCACTCAAACAACTTGAAAATTTACTAAAACATGCTTCAAAACTTCCTTTCACTCTTTACTAAATTGCAAATTAATACCTGAGACAGTTAATGAGTAAGAAAATTATTCACATCCTTGTGTCTAAATTATTGAAAAATTCCCTTCCACATTAAACTATTTCACGCCGTATTTTTAAAATTTTTCACTCAAATAACTTGAAAATTAACTAAAACATGCTTCAAACCTTCCTTTCACTCCTCACTTAATTGCAAATTAATACTTGAAACAGTTCATGAATAGAAGAATCATTTACTTCCTTGTGTATAAATTATTGAAAAATTCCCTTCCACATAAAACTATTTCAGGCTGTATTTTTAAAAATTTTCACTCAAACAACTTGAAAATTTACTAAAACATGCTTCAAACCTTCCTTTCACTCCTCACTAAATTGTGAATTAATACTTGAAACAATTCATGAATAAAAAAATCATGTTAGGACCGCCTATATAGATCTCTGGAATATATATCAAAAATTTATCCCTCCAAATGCAATTTCTCCAGCACCTGGAAAGTGCCGCTTGTCTTTCAACCGATATACACCCGGCTATAATGAATCATCTTGCAGTTTCTGGCAAAATCCAGACACTGATGTGATGTCTGTCTAGCACGTTCAATACTTTATTTAATTCAAACCTTAAATATGAAGTATATATAAGTTTCAAACCAGGAAGGAAGCGTTTTAGTCCGGAGATAGATGCGATACGCGTAATTACCGGCCTCATCCTAAAATCCATCCCCTTACTTTTGCATAATTAACGCACTTTGGAGCAAGGAAATGAGGGATTTAGAATAACATTAGCTGGTAATTGAAATCTGAAAAAAGAGTCTGACTTTTCTTAACATCTGGCTGATATAAATTGAGTTTTCACAAAATACATTTGTGACGAGAAACTAGTAGTTTTTATATAAGAATCTCTTGACTTGAAAAACAACAAATGATTTATATTTATTATATAAGAATTACTTGCGATCAAAGATATATATAAATCATGAGAGGGAAGTTTTTCAATAATTTTTCGGACAGAAAATTCTAAAATGTAGTCGTGTTTTTCCGTGCCGCGTTATTATAAAGTTTTTGTCCTCGTTTAAGGTAGCAAAGCGATGTCCGGAATGTCCATTGTCAAACTTTTTGCCGCTATAACGTTGCGTTTACCCCTTGTAAAGATTGTTTTCTCTACATGTGAGCTTAAATCTTTGCTTAGTGTGTTTTTTTTTCTGGTTGTTGTTGAACCAGGCTAATGAACAAATGGGTTTTTGTATAGGGAAGATTTAAGACGTAAATGAGCTAAAAATTTCAGCATAAAAAGAACTTATCAACAATTAAATAAAATTTTCACATTAAATAATCACTACTGGACAAAATTGTTTTCGAACCAATACCAATAAATAACGTTGTAGCTAACAACGCTGGGATTATCGCGTGTCTATTGGCTGAAATATGAGCTCAGTTTCTAATTTTTCAGTATTACGCAAAAATTTATTATTTTCTCGCTGCATGTTGCAAGGCCCCCTCTATAGAGCTATTAATTTTCTCTTTTAAGGTTGTATTTCGTATATTCCAGCCTTAAAAATGGAGTAGAAAAATTGGTTTCCTACTTTATATAAAAGGAGAGTTTTAGCCTATAATTTGAGTCAATTATTATTACCTTGTAAAAAGGGGGTTTTCAATATCCTGGATTGACACTGCTCCATCGAACGGAATCTGAAAAAAAATTATGTCATTATTAATGGATGAAAGATGCAAAATGTAATTTCAGTCAAAAAATCCAAAGTGTCGCATATAAATTCCCCAAAGCAATTTCCCGATCTGCTGAATAATTTTTACGATTCCGTGTGCGCGAAAGTTACACGGGGGTAGTTGCATTTTTCCAGCCTGTCAAAGGGAGAAAAAGGATTATTTACGTTTCCCGGGTTAGAGGATGGTGCGGAAATGGGCGAATTGTATTTTATTATGTTTCGGATTGTATACCTGGAATAGTTTTTGGATTAGAGGATAATGGAACATGGTAGTATTACATTTCTCTTTGAAAGTTGGTAAACTTAAATGTTTAGGAACCTTTCATCTGTAACCCAACAAAATTTTATAATACAAAAATCCAAGAAAAAAGAGTTATGATTTTTTCAATCTGACAGACACATTTAAGACTATGGTCTCTTTCTCCAATTACAGTGTCTTCCCTGGAAAGTTGATCAACTTCATGGAACCAAATATTTTTTTATGTTTTTAGGAACCTTTCAACTATAACCCAACAAAATTTCATAACACAAAAATCCAAAATAAGGGAGTTATAATTTTTTCAATCTGAAAGACACATTTAAGACTAATAGCCTGCATCTCCATTTACAATGTTTTCCCTGGAAAACTGATTAACTTCATGGAACCCCATATTTTTTTATATATTTAGGAACCTTTCAACTCTAACTTAACAAAATTTTATAACAAAAAAATCCAAAATAAGAGAGTTATGATTTTTTCAATCTGAAATACACATATAAGACTTATGGCCTACATGTCCATTCATAGTGTTTTCCCTGGAAATTTGATCAACTTTATGGAACCAAATATTTTTTTATGTATTTAGGAACCTTTCAACTGTAACCCAACAAAATTTCATAACACGAAAATCCAAAATAAGAGAGTTATGATTTTTTCAATGCGAAAGACACATTTAAGACTTATGGCCTGCATCTCCATTTACAGTGTTTTCCCTGGAAAGTTGATCAACTTTATGGAACCAAATATTTTTTTACGTGTTTAGGAACCTTTCAACTGTAACCCAACAAAATTTCATAACACAAAAATCCAAAATAAGAGAGTTATGATTTTTTCAATCTGAAAGACACACTTAAGACTTATAACCTGCATCTCCATTTATGGTGTTTTCCCTGGAAAGTTGAACAACTTCATGGAACCAAATATTTTTTTATATGTTTAGGAACCTTTCAACTCTAACCCGACAAAATTTTATAACACAAAAATCCAAAATAAGAGAGTTACGATTTTTTCAATCTGAAAGACACATTTTAGACTTATGACCTGCATCTCCCATTACAGTGTCTTCCCTGGAAAGTTGATCAACTTCATGGAACCAAATATTTTTTTATGTATTTAGGAACCTTTCAACTGTAACCCAACAAAATTTCATAACACGAAAATCCAAAATAAGAGAGTTATGATTTTTTCAATGCGAAAGACACATTTAAGACTTATGGCCTGCATCTCCATTTACAGTGTTTTCCCTGGAAAGTTGATCAACTTTATGGAACCAAATATTTTTTTACGTGTTTAGGAACCTTTCAACTGTAACCCAACAAAATTTTATAACACAAAAATCCAAAATAAGAGAGTTATGATTTTTTCAATCTGAAATACACATATAAGACTTATGGCCTACATGTCCATTCACAGTGTTTTCCCTGGAAAACTGATCAACTTCATGGAACCAAATATTTTTTTATGTGTTTAGGAACCTTTCAACTGTACCCCAAGAAAATTTCATAACACAAAAATCATAAATAGGAGAATTAGGACTTTTTCAATCTGAAAGACACATTTAAGACTTATGGCCTACATGTCCATTCACAGTGTTTTCCCTGGAAAGTTGATCAACTTTATGGAACCACATATTTTTTTATGTGTTTAGGAACCTTTCAACTGTACCCCAAGAAAATTTCATAACACAAACATCATAAATAGGAGAGTTAGGATTTTTTTAATCTGAAAGACACATTTTAGACTTATGACCTGCATCTCCAATTACAGTGTCTTCCCTGGAAAGTTGATCAACTTCATGGAACCAAATATTTTTTTATGTATTTAGGAACCTTTCAGCTGTAACCCAAGAAAATTTCATAACACGAAAATCCAAAATAAGAGAGTTATGATTTTTTCAATGCGAAAGACACATTTAAGACTTATGGCCTGCATCTCCATTTACAGTGTTTTCCCTGGAAAGTTGATTAACTTTATGGAACCAAATATTTTTTTACGTGTTTAGGAACCTTTCAACTGTAACCCAACAAAATTTTATAACACAAAAATCCAAAATAAGAGAGTTATGATTTTTTCAATCTGAAATACACATATAAGACTTATGGCCTACATGTCCATTCACAGTGTTTTCCCTGGAAAACTGATCAACTTCATGGAACCAAATATTTTTTTATGTGTTTAGGAACCTTTCAACTGTACCCCAAGAAAATTTCATAACACAAAAATCATAAATAGGAGAATTAGGACTTTTTCAATCTGAAAGACACATTTAAGACTTATGGCCTACATGTCCATTCACAGTGTTTTCCCTGGAAAGTTGATCAACTTTATGGAACCACATATTTTTTTATGTGTTTAGGAACCTTTCAACTGTAACCCAAGAAAATTTCATAACACAAACATCATAAATAGGAGAGTTAGGATTTTTTTAATCTGAAAGACACATTTTAGACTTATGACCTGCATCTCCAATTACAGTGTCTTCCCTGGAAAGTTGATCAACTTCATGGAACCAAATATTTTTTTATGTATTTAGGAACCTTTCAACTGTAACCCAACAAAATTTCATAACACGAAAATCCAAAATAAGAGAGTTATGATTTTTTCAATGCGAAAGACACATTTAAGACTTATGGCCTGCATCTCCATTTACAGTGTTTTCCCTGGAAAGTTGATCAACTTTATGGAACCAAATATTTTTTTACGTGTTTAGGAACCTTTCAACTGTAACCCAACAAAATTTTATAACACAAAAATCCAAAATAAGAGAGTTATGATTTTTTCAATCTGAAATACACATATAAGACTTATGGCCTACATGTCCATTCACAGTGTTTTCCCTGGAAAACTGATTAACTTCATGGAACCCAATATTTTTTTATATATTTAGGAACCTTTCAACTCTAACTTAACAAAATTTTATAACAAAAAAATCCAAAATAAGAGAGTTATGATTTTTTCAATCTGAAATACACATATAAGACTTATGGCCTACATGTCCATTCATAGTGTTTTCCCTGGAAATTTGATCAACTTTATGGAACCACATATTTTTTTATGTGTTTAGGAACCTTTCAACTGTAACCCAAGAAAATTTCATAACACAAACATCATAAATAGGAGAGTTAGGATTTTTTTAATCTGAAAGACACATTTAAGACTTATGACCTGCATCTCCAATTACAGTGTCTTCCCTGGAAAGTTGATCAACTTCATGGAACCAAATATTTTTTTATGTATTTAGGAATCTTTCAACTTTAACCCAACAAAATTTCATAACACAAAAATCCAAAATAAGAGATTTATGATTTTTTCAATCTGAAAGACATATTTAAGATTTATGGCCTGCATCTCCATTTACAGTGTTTTCCCTGGAAAGCTGATCAACTTCAAGGAACCAAATATTTTTTTATGTATTTAGGAATCTTTCAACTTTAACCCAACAAAATTTCATAACGCAAAAATCCAAAATAAGAGATTTATAATTTTTTCAATCTGAAAGACACATTTAAGACTTATGGCCTGCATCTCCATTTACAGTGTTTTCCCTGGAAAGTTAATCAACTTCATGGAACCAAATATTTTTTTATGTGTTTAGGAACCTTATAGACGCTTCATCAAGGATTTTGCCTCAGTCTCGTCTCCTATCACTGACTTATTAAAAGGTAGAAAAAAGGGACAAGCAATTATTTGGAATGAAATAGAAATAAAAAATCTTTCAACTAATACTCCAGTTCTTGCTAGTCCTGATTTCTCTAAACTGATAGCAGTGATACGGGGATGGGTGCTGTTTTTTTTCAAGAGGAAGAAGGACAGGGATGCTATCAGCACTTAAAAAATTGTACCAGAAAGTAGGGAATAATTGTACTAGTTTGGCGACATTGTGTACTAGCTGAAAACGCGTCAAATTTTGAAATTTGAATACAAATGTAGGCTCTGATAATTGGGGTAAATATCACTTGTTTGAATGATAGAAATAATTAAATTTTTACATATTTAGTTATAAATTGACTACATGACACACGTCAAGTCACAAAAGTTTTTGTCCATCCTATGGCCACGGCTACCTCCAAACAAAACATCAAATTTATTGAGAGTCAAGTATTTTTGACTTTTAGAGTTCCTTAGGTGTTTGCTTGTGATAATGATCCTCAATTTATCAGTAAAGATTCCAAAAACTTCTTAAAGAGTTACGATGTTCAGAAAATATTTTACAACTTGAGATATCATCCCCAAATTAATCATACTGACTGAGAGGGTAAATAGATCATTATATTCATGACAATCATTAAGATTGGGACTTATGTATTCATAGAGTTGGCCAAGCTATAAGAACAGCTAATCATGAAGTAACGGGTTTTTCTTCATCATTTCTGACCTTCGGTCAAAATCTGGCTCTTATTACAGTAAAATTAAGTCAGACAATAATACCTTACCTAAAATAGGGAATAGAGATCAGTATATTGAGGATTTAAAAGAGATTCTTAAGCTTTTCGAGGATATCCGTAAAAGAATGAATATCATGATAAAAATGGAAAAGGAATTTTACTTTATCTAATGCTACTAAATTTGCTCCTAAATATATTCCTTGTATAGTACATAAAGTTATCTCTAAAGTATCTTACAATTTGAGGGACAGGAATGAAAATGATCTGGGTAATTGGCATATGATCTGAAGGAAAACTTTGCTGATACTTATGAGGAAAACC